TTGCTGTCTTTTGATTTTTCTAAAGAGATAATTTTATTCTAGGGTTATATGGAATTTTCTGATTCGGGAAAAGTTAAAGAATATGAAGAATCACAAATACAATATTTTCTTAATCGATTTCATTTATCTCGAATATCAATTCGTTTACTCATTTATCAGCATAGTAAGAATTTAATTTAATTTAATTCAATATTTAGATAAAATCTAAGATTTAAAACATGATAGTATCAAATTTTTGAGAAAGCTTTATAAATTTACTCATGAAAGATCTATTTTTCAAATGCTTAATCCAGTGTATGTGAAGAGGAGAGTAAGACAAGAGTTGGCGTTTCCTTGAAGATCGAGTTGGCTCTTCCAGTAGAACCCATCGGGTCCAATATTTGTGGACCCGAACTTGATTCCAGTTAATCAAACATTTTCAGACTCGATCTCGATCGAATCGCACATTGATACTGTCAAATGAAATTTTTGTAATTGGAATTGGGTACTCACTTCAAAGTTACGATGTACTTTTCTTCCATTTTTTTTTAATATTCAGTGACTAGAACCTGGTGTATCCAAAACTTTCAGATCCGCACTCAGTTGGGTCTTGGACCAACTTGATGAGCTCTACCTTCTGGGGTTTGTGGTTATTGTACTACATACGATGTGTCTATGCTCCTAGAAATAGATGTTCACACTATTGAGGTTTTAAAATGATCCTTTTGAAGGAAAATTCTGGATAAAGTATTGATTTAATCGCTGTTGGTCATCTGTAAACATTCATAAGACAAACTTAAACTCAAAAATGGTTAGATCTTTTGTCTCAAGATATATATATATTCACAAAAAAATATTCTTTAGTATCATTACGGTAAGAGCAAGAAATAAAGAGCTAATGATTTTTGTATCGATTCTACTTCCATGTGATATAAACGGTAAGGAAATATCTAAAAAAAAAACAACCTTAAATTTTTCGAAACTAACATCTTATCAAAAGAGATTGTATCAATAAAAATGATTTAGAAAAGATAAGTATATCATCATCATGAACTATGTTGATTTATGTTAACATTTACTTTTATTTACAATATAACCTCTTTTTGAATAAGTTCAAATTGAATATCATAAAAACATTGATGTGTCATCATCTGCCAATATGGATTATAACATTTTTTTTTATAGAATACTTCGTATCTTAATAAAGAACTGTCAAAAATTGAAAACATATTGGAGTTGAGCTAGCTTCATGAAGATCTGATTATGACTAAAATCATTCGGCATCTAGAGTTATTTTATCATCAATCGAGAATATATCCAGAGTCATTTTTCTTTATATTAGTACTTGCTTCGATAATGGCCAATTGCTCTAACCAGACATTGGACTAGTACCAGTATAGTAAGTACAAGGACAAATACTGGGTACTTGAAATTTGTACTTTGTACTTGTACTTAAGTACAAGTACAAAGTACAATTTTGAAGTACACAGTACATGTACTTGTACTTGAAAAAGTGTACTGGTACTTAAGATTTTTCTGTACTGAGTGCGAAAAGTACTAAGTATTATACTAAGTATCCAATCTCTAACTCTAATAGCAATTCTTGACAACGTATTCATCATTAATATCTCATTCGTTGATGTTAAAAAAAAAATATCTGTATTTTTCTTTTGAATATAAATTTCAATAGTTCTATCTATCATAAATAGAATATTGTTTCGAATAATTTCTTATCAATATTTTTCTTAGCTATGTGTTTTGGTGAAGAAATACCTGAACATCCGACACATCTTGGTTTCGTTGATCCTCTTTGTTATGTGGAAGATATAATCAAAGGTAATATGAAATAAATAATTGAGTGTAAAATAAAATATTATTTATTTCTTTTTATTCTAGACGCATTTGAAAATGCCCAATTTTTATGTGAAGGTTATTATTTAACAGCTCCTTCATTGGAACTTCGTTGTATTAATGGTATTTATTATTATTATTATTTTTTTTCATTGTTGAAATTAATTTGTTATTTTTGTCTAGCAACAAACCCCGATGAGCCAATATGTATAGCTTATGTTCCATCACATCTGTATCATATTATGTTTGAATTATTTAAAGTATAAATGAATATGAAATTCTTCTTGATGAGATAATGTTTATTTAGAATTCTATGCGTGCAACTGTTGAATATGCAGAAAGTAAAAAATTAAGCACAACATTACCACCGATAATAGTTTGTTCTTTTATTTTTTGTTTTGTTTTAATAACTCAAGTAAATTGATTTCATTTCTTAATATTAGGTTGATATTGTTAAAGCAAAAGAAGATTTGACTATTCGTATTAGGTAAAGATAATCCATGATTTAGTTTTTAAATGATTATGATACATTTTTAGTGATCGTGGTGGTGGAATTCCACGTTCTAAAGCAGATAAAATCTTTAGATATATGTATTCAACTGCACCAAGACCTGTATCATTAACTGATTCTCAACATTCAGGTCCAGTGCCATTAGCAGGTTTTGGTTATGGCCTTCCGATAGTATGTTTACTTGTAATATCTATTGAAATAAGTGAATGATTTGTAATGTATAGAGTCGACTTTATGCTCGATATTTTAATGGTAATTTGGAGATTCATTCTATTGATGGACATGGTACTGATGCTTATATTTATCTTCAAGTAAATAAAAAGGAAATAGTTTGAATTTGAAAATTGTAATATGTTCTTTTAGGCTGTTGAAGATCAAGCTAGTGAATGGTTACCAATATGTAATCGAGCTGCTTATGAATATTATACATCACGAAAATATCAATCAGATTGGACAAAAAAGAAATAATATCTGTTATATATTTTTTGTGTAATTATTTTTTAGTAGTTTAAAACTTTTAGTATATTCTCTTGATTAGTTTTTTATTCCTATATTTTTTTTTCATGTAAAAAGTGAAGGAAAATCAATGATACTGTTTTTTGTATATTTTACTAATAGTCTTTCTTTTTATTTTTGATTTATATAAATTAATGTAGCAATGAATCATTCCATCCAAACGTTAAGTATTCATAGGATAAGAAAGAAATTCTTTTTCAGGATAAATGTCGTTCCATATGTCCTATGGTGTCGAGTTTTAAATAGCATTTTCATCGACAAAACTCAACAAATATGAAAGGGATTTTATTCTTCTAATTATATATAAATGGTCATTTGAATCATTTGTCAATCTACAGACGAGATCAATCAATGAGATTCAGTAACGAATATAATATTGATGAAAATGAAAAGAGTATTTCAATTTTTTCTATATCTGATAAAACATGATTAGCCAATGCATGATTAATAATACGAAATGCAATAAATATTTCAAAGAAAGAAAGGCAATACCAAACGTGGTGATAACCGTATTGATTCATTTCCTTTTTTTAGACCACATCATACCATTGACTGTGAAAATTAAGCGACTATTCTTACTAATGAAAAACTAATATCAAACTGATTTGAAATAACTAAATCTATTGAATTTACTCTAACATCCTATGATGATTTGCTTACAGATGCACAAAAAGTGGAATCTTAGCAGAGTAGTACACTCATCAGTATGGGAAAAAGCCAAGCCATTGCAGAGTAGAAGCGCAAACGATCTATACCACTAGTCATCGTCTTGGGCGTCCCATGCCAGTGCCACAATCAGACACGGATGTAGATGTCCGGCAGCTTCTTTGATTTTTTCCATTCTTAGCACAGATTTCTCGAAACTCTTGTTCCGATATTTGAGGCTTATCACCAAAGGCACATTTTTACATTTCTCTCGAGTTTCTCTCAACACTGTTCTTGTTGTCGAGAAACTACTGATATAGTTATATCTTGTCTTGATTTGTTGTGACAGGTAAGAATGCACTTTGTCTCATTAATATTAATCATTCGATAAAGCCACTCTAACATCTATAAATGTCGATCGGTAGTTCAAACGAGTGGCTTAATACGAATCAATCTTTAAATTTTTAGTGTTGTCGTTGAAATCTTTTACTCTGACACAGATAACGCAAATATACGTGAAGGGGTCGAACGTTAGTTTAATGTCAGTCTTTCGCCTTGCTATGTACTGTTTAGAGTAAAATAGAATTGTTATTTTTCAGTTTTTCTGGTCACATCAGCAGAGATAAGGAAGACGTGAATAACTATAGTTAAATATCATTAAAAATTTTCTATCTTTATATTTCATATATGATGTATTTTTTGAGTTGTTCTAGATGCTCTGAACGATTCAGCCTTATGGATAATTTTTTACAGGAGATACGATTAAAAAAACCATTGTTAGCGACATGACACTAAGAAGATATTCGTCGGCACATGTTTCTAATTGAACAATTGTAGATTGATATTTTATGTTTTATTAAGATTTGTAAAAAATCTGATTATCTAACAGAGTTATTTGACAATATTTTCCTGTATTCTCAAGTCAGAAATACATAAATCTTCATAATGTAGAGACAGGTTTAGAAAAAAAAATGGTTTTTTCTAGTTTTTGGAACTATGAAAACGAAAAACGACCATCATTTTCTTTAACCAGAGTCAGCGGTTGTAAATACGTTGAACTTTCGCGACACAGCTTCGACTCTAACAAAAAAATAAATTTATGTCGGTTTCGATGATTTCTACTAACATTAGGTTTATTGTATCTAGTGAAGAGATAAAATTCTCAAAAGGAATGCAAAAGATGTACCCGACAGTTTAGTTTTTATGTGATATTGTATCCCGAAATTGGATACATATTTTTTTTATCGGTCTTCCACTAATCATGTAACTGTTATTGTTAAGTTTAAGTTGTTTTGTTAACATATGATTAACCTATAACTAAGTGACTAAATGATGGGAGCTGAAAGTGATGTTGTTTCATTTCAGTTTTCTCGATCAGAAAAGGTCTATTTTGAGAGAATAGATGAAATTTATAAGACTTGACCACGGATTTTCGGTGTCGATCAATCTGAAACAATAGGTGATTCGTCGAAATTGTTGAGTTCTATTTTTTCGTTCAAGCAAGGTTTATTTGCATAATCCAGGGAAAGTTTTACAAATTTTAATGAACCTGTGGCACGGTAATCCTCTGAGACGAAAGGAACTAAACTTCAAGATTTCAATAAACTATCTCTAGATTGAGATTTCTCGAGTTTGAACACTTCTGACAAATTTTTATAAAACTCATCAATGTTCTTGGAAAAAGACTTTTCGTGACTGCAAAAAATAGAAGTAGAATACTATTAATTTTATCCCAACCATTTAATCCTTCAGGTTTAGGCACATTAAATGTTAAGAGAAAAAGTTAAACCTAATATTTGCGTTTTAGTAATCAGTTGAAGGTTACTATAAAAGTTAGGAGAAATAGCCCATCGATAGATCCAGATAGGTCTTAAAAGGTTACTGATATGATGTCTAGATAGCCCTAAAAAAGTTACAAGTATGATGTCCAGATAGTATATAATAAGTTGCTGCAGCACAGTCAGAAAGAACTCGAAAACTTATGGTCAAGCATAATTACAAAGTATGTATTCAAATCTTATTGGTAAAATATGGATAGAAAAGTATGCTCAAAATCACTTTTCCTGGTCGACTGGAGTCTATTTTTTATTATTATTCACGGTTCAGCGATCAATAAATGCATAAAATTCAATTAATATAAATTATTCACCATAACTACATAGGAAAGTCCATATTATCAATATTGTCTCCAGTCAACAGTCGCTTGATACAATAACAGGTTTTCTCGTAAGTACAAGATGATTATTTTGTAAGATTCACTTCAAAAAAAATCCTGAATGTCGATGATCGCTTTGATTACAATCAGCTTTTTCCTCCTTAGCATCTTAGTTACTAATTAAAATTTATTGTACTCAACTGACATCCTTATTAAACGAGTATCGTGTTAGTAAACATGTTAAAGTAATTTTATCAATATTTTTTTCCACTCTTTTTCATTATATTTCTTATTTTAACTATATTAAAAACCATGTCTAAACCTATTTTAGTATTAGACTTCGTACGAAGGCAATGATAAAAATAACTTACAGTGAGTGCACACGATTGATATTTTTCTCACCCTTAAAAAAAAATAGAAAATAAATTTGAAATGTTTTCAAATAATACACATTCTTAATAATATCAATTGAGTATAGAAAATCTTAGATGATAACTTAGATGTTACAAAATATATTTTTTCTATGTCTGTGTAACTTTGTATATTCAAAAAATGCAAAAAAAAAAACAAACTCAAAATGATCCGAAATCTATGAAACAATTTTCATATATGTCACTGTCAATCAATATTTAATAATTATATTAATTTCTCAATGATAGAATCTTTTTTATCGTATATTTTTACATATTATTAAATTAAAAATGAAATCGTAAAAAGATGCATATTTTTACGCATTTTAAACATCAAGAAAGATACACTTTTTACAATTTTATTTTCGTTCAAATTTCGATGCGATATTAAGAGGTGTTCTTTTTGTGGTTCAACAAACATCGATATTTTACATTTGTCGATTCAATTGACATTTTCACACTCATCAATACAATATTTTCTCTATTTTTAATGACGTCATGAAATAGAGGAACGTAAAAACCTTTTTTAAACCATGATAGATAAAATGCTCTTTTGTTGTCATATAAGTACGCATCTGTTATATTTGCCGACTGAATCATCGTTTCGTACTTATCGATACAGTATTTTCTCTATCCTCGATGACCTCATGAAATAGAGAAACGTAAAAACATTTTCTTATGATGCCAGATTTCTTTCTCTGAGTAATATAAATAATTATCTATTATATTTATCGACTCAATCGGCATTTTCAAAATTGCTATTAATGTGTTTTATCCATCTGTAACGCCCACAGAGAAAAGAGAAACATAAAAAGAAATTATTTTCTTATAGTAATAGAATAGAATAAATGGTTTCTTTGCATGATTGATCCACAATTTGTCACATCAACTATGAATTGTAGAACAAATAACTGTAAGATATAATTATATCCGATACTCACGTTGAATAGACGAAGGTAAAAACTTTTTTTTTCGTAGTATTGAGAAAGTGCACTCTATTCGTGATTTAAGCGTCCATATTTCACATATATCATTTATTTTTACATGAAGTCTAATTATTTTAACAAAAATTCGTTAAATATCAGTGGAAAAGGACAACTTTTGGCACTCATGAACATTGTACATTTGACTAAAATGTCTTACCAACGTATTAAGCTCATTTTGTAGGCTCTGAAAAGCCTATTGAACGATATGTAATTCAAAATGTATCGCTGCTTTTATAGCTTCATAGTGATGACCTTTTGCCGTCGATGACCTCATATTGTATATACAAAGCAAGCAATGTCATATAACGGAAAAGGAAAAGAATAATATTTTGTTATAATCATATGTATGTTATTCGATGGAGGAAAAAAAGAGCTTTCATGCGATACATAAATCAAATTATAGAAGTTGGAGAAGGTAGACAAACTTTCCATGTAAACATTCCATAGAAGAACGCTGTAGGAGATCTATAATACTGAGTTTTGAGTCAGCTGTGCGCAACTTGAGTGAAGTTTAATGATGTCATTCGAACAGTAATCGACTCTTGACATATGAATTGATTAATAGAGAAATAATAAAGTCAGTTTCGAGAGGGCATCGATTTCATCACTTAACGCCCCCCTCCTTTTTATCTTTAATTAGACTTTTTCAGAGTATTCTCATGTTGAGTTTCAAGTGTGAAATGTTATGAATAATATAGTTATTGTAATTTTTCTAAAATTTTTTTCTCAAATCAAATCAACATTGTATTCGAATCTATCTTAGTTTCATCCCTTACATAAATACAAATTAACGAAATATTTATTTCTATTTTTCACAAGTTAGTATTAAGTTTTGTCATTTGAACAAAAATGATTTCTTATTAAATCGATTTATATGTTAAATAAAATCAATAAAAAGAAAAACACAACAATATTGTTAACACATTTCAACATAATCAATAGACTAGTTAAACAAAAAAAAAAAAAAAGAATATTCTCTGTTCATATTCATCTCCATAGAAAATAATTAATAGTATTGAAATCAAATCGATTTAATAATAATCTTGATTTCATATTTATAGATGACTTCATAATAACAATTTTATCATTATAGTACTACAACAAATTTTATTTAATAACAAAAGAATTCATAACATGAATAATAATAATTCAATAACATGGTTTGATCATTTAGCTACAGAAATTATTTTGGATATATTTGATTATTTATCATGTAATGATATTATTTATACATTCTTTTATTTTAATCAACGACTTAATTCTATATTATTACATTATCAACATTGTTCAAATAATTTTAGATCATTAATAACAAATTTTAATTTTTGGCAAAATAATTTACCAATAATTGGATCACATATACAATGTTTAATTATAAATAGTATTGATTTATCTTTTTCATTAAATTTATTTCCAAATTTAAAATCAATTATTATTTCTTCTCCAATTT